AGATAAATATATATGCTTCTTGCCAGATCAGACATTAATTTCCAAATGGAAGGCAAGCAGCCCAGGTATCCATAAAGCACTGAGATATGGTGCTGTCAACTAGAAATGGTGTGGGTACAAACTAAGACCTTTCTCTTACTGTGACAACCACCCTGAACTTATGTCAATAAACTGACATAATAAACTTGGACTTGAACTTATGTCAAAATCCTCAACTTCAGATTCACTCATTTCAGTGAGCATTTCATTAGAAACATTCATAAACTGATCTATTATAAATTCAATTTTACTGCTCCTCAGCATGACAATGACACTGTACCAACACAAAACTTTCTTCAATAAAATGACAAAGGCAACTCCTTCAGTGGCAATGTTAAAATGCCTTAAAAATTCAAATTGATGTTTGAGCTGTTTGGGTTTCATAAATCTCATGTACATGATTTTAAAGTATGTTTTGTACAGTAATACATAGGAAATAATTACTGAGGGGAAAGTAATCTTAGCTAATGAAAGGGTTTCTAACTCTATAATGTTTAATCTCTGCTTTGCCACACGTTAGCCTTTCCATGCATAGAAATAATTATTGAGCTGTTCATTACTACAGACCAACAGATATTGGTATCATTTTGCTTGTTATTATACAAAGAGCTATCCATAGAGGCTATAATCAGAGTGACGAATTTGAGAAATTGTTTTGTGACTTACAGTGTAATGAGTTGCTTATAAATAGCCGTTGAATTTAATGTTTCTGGGTGAAGACAGTCCATGAGGTTATTCTCAGGCCTTTTGCTAACTGCTCCAGTTTCATGGAATATGGAATGTGCAGGGCTGGGGAAAAAGAACAGAATTGTGAACCATCTGTCCTGTCTGATTATTAGGATAATATTGTATTCCGTGACATCTTCCTTATCTGAGTACTAAATGTTCTCCAAGTATTTATCCAACTCCCTCATGAATTCGTTAAAGCAATCAGTTCCCGTTGCCTCACTTGGTGATTCATTCCATCAACTGACCTCATCTAAATCCCAGCTATCTGTTCAACTTCCGCTTGTTAAGTTTGAATCTGCCTTCTTGTTTTGGAATCTGTGATTATTATAGCAATAGCACTTACCTCGCCTCTGTCCTTAGGAATTTGAATATCTAAATAGGTAGGTGGTTGTTTCTTTGGATCAAGCAATGCCTGAAAATCAAATCTTACTGCTGGGAACTTCTAAAATATTCATTCATTGGATGTGGGCATCACTGGCTAGATCATTTATTGTCCGCCACAATAGTCAGCCACATTACAGTTGGGTCTGGAATCACAAGCAGGGCGGACCAAAAGCACAATTAAAAACAGAAAGTGCGGGAGAAACTCAACAGGTCTGTAGCATTTGTGGAAAGAGAAATAGAACTAACATTTTGAGTCCAATGTGACTCCTTTTCAGGAATTAAAATAAAAACAGATTTCACTGAACTTTCATGGTTCAGTAGACCTTGATTGCAGAAACATGCTCTTTCAATGATGCTGATGGCCTGTTCCCAATCTCCTATTACCTCTATCACCCACAAGAAGTTGAAAAAGTTCAAAGCATTGACAAACTGCATCAGATGCTTCCTGTTGCCATTATGTCCTTGGAGGAGGTCAATTACCTAGACAGCTGTTAGAGATGCCAAATCATGGGATCAGTTCCCACACTGGCTGAGGTTACCATGAAGGACTCTCCTTTCAGCCTCTCCCCTCACCTGAGGCATGGTGACCCTCAGGTTACACTCCAGGCAGTTATTTCTCTGGGATGAGTGCGCAGCCCTACGGTCTGGTACGATTCTGGCAAATTTATCTTTACTCTGTCCTTAGGCAGCATCTTGTTGTTGTGAAGATGCAAATTTATTAGAATGAAAGAACAAAAATTGCTAACTGCTGCAGAGTATCATTGCTTTCTTTTGGCAGTTGTGCAAAGCGTGATCATTCAGAAACTTTCTAATGCGCTAATAAAGTTTATGTGTAATTGTGAGTCTCTGAAAAGAATCAGGACATTGACTCTGACATGAATGTTAACTGAAAAAAGAAGCTCAAATCTGACTGATGCTGCATTAATGTATTTTTATCATTGGTACTCTTTCCCCAGATCATGTTAAGATAAGAATGGGCAGTTCAGTGGTTAGCACTGCTGCCTCACAGCGCCAGGGACCTGAGTTTGATTCCACCCTCAGGCGACTAGCTGTGTGGAGTTTGCACATTCTCCCCGAGTCTGCTAGGATTTCTGCCAGGTATTCTGATTTCCTCCCACAATCCAAAGTTAGGTGGATTGGCCATGGGAGTGCATGGTAGGGGAGGGCGTGGGTCCGGGTGGGATGCTCTTCAGAGGGCCAGTGTGGATTCAATGGGCTGAATAGCCTGCTTCTACCCTGTAGGGAATCTAGATAGGTATGGTTTGCTCCCAGTCACAGATGTTAATGGAAGTTGTACCGACAAGATGAAAGATACCGATGGAATGTCCAAGCATTGTTATAGCACAGGTACTGACCTCAGATTTGTATGTGCACAGAGCAATGTGACCCAAGTTTTACAGCCAACTCCTACATGATTTTCTTCCCCAGAAAAACAGACTTGTGCACACATTTTCTTCTACCTTGCAGAGTGTTCCACTCAATGCAAAAAACAGTGTCCGAAACTAAAGAGTGACAAATATAACTTCCCTGTTATATAAAGGAGGCAAGGTAAACCACAATATTAGGGGTCTTTTGAGTTCAGTTCTTGCCAAACAACCAGGAATCCATTACACAGGGTGAAACTGGGCTTGGACAAGCAGAAGATGATCAGAGCCAGTCCAGCAAAGTAATGTCAGTAAATATGATTTATGTTGATTGTCAAGAAGCATTTGATAAGGCACTAAATGGAAACATTCGCCAAAGGTGATGGCCTATGAAACTAAAAGAAAGGTGGCCTTTCACAGAGGAATGGGACTGAAAGAAGGAAAGAAAGAAAGAATAGAATGATGTAACATTATATAGATTCAAACGATACAGCGATTGGTTTATCAGAGGGCTCTATGTTAATATCACTTATGTTTACTATTTATTGAATGTAAAGTGACTGTAGCACCACTCTGACATTAGTGAGAGTTTAACCTGAGGGCCACCTTGTCTCAGGTAAGGGGAGAGATTGAGAAGGTGGGACCTTCATGGTAACATCAGCTGGTATGGGAATTAAACCCATGTTGTTGGCATCACTCTGCAATGCAAACCAGCTAACAAGCCGAGCTGAGCTAACCATTCCCTGCGCTTGGAATGGGGGGAAAAGCGTGAACCAAATTTGGGGAGGAGGGCTGTAGGGAGTTCACTCTGTGTTCACTCATTTTTAATCCGCATAAGCTTTTGTCTGGTTTACACAACAAAACCGCTCTTTTCTCTTACGTAGGCACCAGCAGCATCGATTCCAACCTCAGGCGACTGAGTGGAGTTTGCACATTCTCCCTGTGTCTGTGTGGGTTTCTCCGGGTGCTCTGGTATCCTCCCACAACCTAAAGGTGTGCAGGTTATGTGGTTAATCAGTGTTCAGGGATGTGTAGGCTGGGTAGGTTAGCCAAGGGAAATGTAGCTTTAGGGTTGGTGTGGATTTGATGGATCGAATGGCCTGCTTCCACACTGTAGGGATTCAACGGTTCTCTTTGAGCGAGAGATTCCTGTTGAATTTCCTCAGCATCACCTTACCTTGACACCCTGTTGCTGTGAGCTCCCAGAATCTCTCTCTCTGAGCTCGGAGTGAGGAAACAGGCGATATCCAATCCCCCTGCCACCGCATCGAAATGAAACAAATCAATCAGAGGCGAAGAAAGCTGCAGACATCACAGCAACGTATCAGAATGGAGTTGGACTCTGAATGCTGGCTGCAATTTTCAACATCTGTAAGATTCGAGTGAACCTCGGCATCTCCGCCGGTTTCGGGTCGGTGAAGGAGATCCACTGATCTCGGGATCGCTCACTTTCATTAAAACGAAAACAGAAATTGCTGGAGAAAGTCAGTAGGTCTGGCAGCGTCTGTGGAGAGAGAGAAACAGAGTTAGCGTTTTGAGTCCAGCTTTGGAAAAGTCATTTTGGACTCGAAACGTTAACTCTGCCTCTCTCGGCACAGATTCTGCGAGACCTGCTAAATTTCTCGTGCACTGTGTTTTTATTCTGTCAGGTTTCCATCATCAGCAGGACATTGTTTCAGTTGGTTCTTGGTGTGTGTCTGTGCGTGTGTGTTGGTTGTCTTCATGTGTTGTCTATGTGTGTGTCTGTTTGTGCGTGTCTGTGTTCTGCGTGTGTCTATGTGTGTGTGTCTGTGTGTGTATCTGTTTGTGCCTATGTCTGTTGTTTGTGTGCCTGTGTGTGAAAGTGTGTGTGTGTGTGAGTGAATGCGTGTCTGTGTGTCTGCGTGTGTGTGTCTGTTGTCTGTATGTGTGTGTTGTGTGTATGAGTGTCTGTGTGAGAGATTGTGTGTCTGTGTGTGTATGTGAGTGTGTGTACGTGTGTAAGTGTGTGTCTGTGTGTGCCAGTGTGGTGTGTATGCCTGTGTGTGTGTGTCAATGTGTGTGTGAGTTGTTTGTGTGTGTCTGTGTGTGAGAGAGTGTGTGCATGAGTGTGCCTGTGTGTGTGAGAGAGAGAGAGACAGTGAGTGTGTGTATGAGTGTGTGAGAGTGTTTATTGCTGCGGGATTTTCCCGGAGTATTCAGAAGGTGCTGTGCTGGGAGTTACACTGCTTTCCAGCCGGAGTCTACCCGGATTGACAACCGCATGGATCAGGGAGAGAGGTGCAGCATCTCCCGGAGCTGTGTACCGGCGCTGGCTGGCTCTTTGTAAAAAGCGATGTTTGGAGGGAGTTAGTTAAAAATAATCGGATGTGTTATAGGGAAAGGGGGAGGGCGCACACGTCAGTCTTGATCAAAGTGGAGATTCCGACCTGAAACCCGCCCTGTCACGTTGCAAAATAAATAAATTATGTTAAGCAGGCGTCTGGCTAGAAATAGCATTGAGAGAACAGCAGGCAGCGGCTGTGTGAGGTTCCAGAGGAGGACATGGGGCTTTGGCTATAGCCTGGAGGTTACTGCCTGCTCCCAGCACTGACCATAGCCTGGAATCACTTTCCCAAGTCTCACTGCCAAGGGGCGAACCAGAGGGAACTTGCTGTTGGGGAATATCCATCACATCAGCGGCTGGGGGATCTTATTTTTGATGTTCCAACCTATTGGAGTATCATTTTGGAGAGATTAGCGCGCCTGCTTCCAGTCGGAGGGATTCCTCATGAACTGGCGATAGTTGCGGCTGGAGAGGGGATCTCAAACAGGGCGGCACACACGATGGAAAACTCGCCGCCGGCTGTCAAGCGAGAGCTCCGCACAGCCCAGCGCTGCGCCGGCCTTTCGGGCCTCGCCTGCTGCCTCCTGGCCGTACTATCCCTCGGCCTGTGTGCCCTCCTGCACCAGCGGACCTCCGACCTGCAGAGCCGCGTCTCGCATTTAGAGGCGGAGAGAGAGCAGCTCCCGGCCTGGCTCGCTGCCCACCAGCTGCAACCCGCTATTTTTAACCGAGTGGAGGAACTCCTGGACCAGGTTGGTGCAAGTGACGGAGCCGCATTGCAAACTGCCCCAATATACCGACCCGCTCCTTTTCCGCCAACTTCCCGAACCGGAGTTAAACTGTTTCTCAAACACATGCTCCCAGAACGCAGGCAGAGAATCCGCACTCTCCCTGGACTGTTACCCACACCCACTTGGCATCTCTACCTTCCCCTAAAGCTCCCTGCCCTCCCCACACACACCCCCACCCCCAAAATAATTAGACTTTCTTCAAAAAAAAAGTGTGAATTCAGTGAGGCTCCCGCTCGCTGGGAATCTAAAGATGAACCAAATTGCAGCAAAAATGCTGCTGGGGGCACGTTAGTTTCCGAGTTTCATTCATTGTAGAATGAGGCCGGTGACTGAAGTTGGTACTTGGGTCATCTCTGTAGGTAGCGCGGGGCGGGGGGGTGGGGGCGGTGGGGGGCGTTGTTATTTGCTCTAAATGTGTGTGTGCGAGTGTGTGTGTGTGCGAGTGTGTGTGTAAGAGAGAGTGTGCACGAGAGTGTGTATGCGAGTGTGTGTGCGAGTGTGTGTGTATGCGTGTGTGCACGTGTGTGTATGCGAGTGTGTGTGTATGCGAGTGTGCGCGCGAGAGTGTGTGTGTGCGATAGTGTGTGTGTGCGATAGTGTGTGTGTGCGAGAGTGTGTGTGTGCAAGAGTGTGTGTGTGCAAGAGTGTGAGTGTGCGTGCGGGAGTGTGCGTGCGGGAGTGTGTGTATGGGAGAGTGTGTGTGCGAGAGAGAGTCAGTGTGTGCGGGAGTGTGTGTGTGCGGGAGTGTGTGTGTGCGGGAGTGTGTGTGTGCGAGAGTGAGTGTCTGTGTGCGAGTGTCTGTGTGTGTGCGAGAAAGTGTATGCAAGAGTGTGCGTGTGCGAGTGTGTGTGCAAATGTGAGCGTCTGTGTGCAAGAGTCAGTGTGTGTGTGTGTGTGTGCGAGAGAGTGTGTGAGTATGAGACTGAGAGTGAGTGTGTGAATCAGTGTGTGTGCGAGAGAGAGTCAATGTGTGTGTGCAAGAGAGAGTCAGTGTGTGTGTGTGCGAGAGAGTCAGTGTGTGTGAGAGTATGAGACTGAGTGAGTGTGTGTGAGTGCGTGAGAGTGTATGAGACTGAGAGTGAGTGTGTGAGTGTGAGTGAGAGTATATGGGAGTGAGAGTGTGAACCCAGCAATCCCAGTGCATGCCTTTTCATCCCAATCTCCTGCACTTTGCCCCTACAGAGACTGAAGGCTCATTTACCCAAGACCCGAGTGGCTCGCGGGGCTCCTGGAGGCTGTCTCTGCCCCCCAGGTAGGTGCTGAGCTGAAATTTACCCCCATTCCCCACTCTCTGCCTGAGCACTCCCATCCCACACGGTAACGGAGATCACCCGCAGTGTGGCGGATCTGGTCTGTTGAAGTGATTCTGTGTTGGCTCAATGAGGTAGTGATTACCCTGGGGGCTCGGGGATGGGGTGGGGGAGTCACAAAGATCCTGCTAAAGTTCCGTGCTTTCTGTGTTTCGGGAAGGCCTTGGGGATGTGGTTGGGGGGAGTGGGGTGGATGTGAGGGGAGGTGGGGAAACTAGATTTGGACCATCTCAATGAAATATTCGCACATGCGATCCCTGGTGTTTTGGCAGAAGGGGCATCCTGCAGCATCACCATGGAAAATGGGCTAGACTCTTATTGGAATCCTTATCTGGATAGATCATTCCAGGTCCAGATAATCCCTGGAGCAGATATATAGACCTCTCCAAGTAGAAATATACAGGTCTCTCCAGGTACAGATATACAGATCTCCCCTAATACAGATAGACAGGTCTTTCCCAGACTAACTACACAGAGATTTCAATCTGTCAACCAGTAATGTGTGTGTCAGTGCGCGAGGGTTAATATTTGATGTGGTGTAAGGTGTCCAACGTTGAATTTCAGATGATAGTTGCGGAAAAGATTAAAGCTTTGGCTGTTGGCATGGTCCGAGCTGCTATTCTGGTCCCTCTTGCGCCAGTGCTCAGTGCATCGAACTGCTCAAACTATGGTTCCCTCCTGGTACTCAGCGCATTGGCAGCAACCAGCAGACGCACTGCGGTCTCCCACAGAGGACCAGCAGACGCACTGCGGTCTCCCACAGAGGACCAGCAGACCCACCGCCTTCCCCCACTGAGGACCAGCAGACCCACTGGCCTCCCACTGAGGACCAGCAGACCCACTGCTGTCCCCCACTGAGGACCAGCAGACCCACTGCTCTCCCTCAGTGAGGGCCAGCAGACCCACTGCTCTCGCCCAGTGAGGACCAGCAGGCCCACTGCTCTCCCACTGACGGCCAGCAGACCACCACCTTCCCCCACTGAGGACCAGCAGACCCACTGCCGTCCCCCACTGAGGACCAGCAGACCCACTGCTCTCCCTCAGTGAGGGCCAGCAGACCCACTGCTCTCCCCCAGTGAGGGCCAGCAGACCCACTGCTCTCCCCCAATGAGGATCTGCAGACCCACCCGCCTTCCCCACTGAGAACCAGCAGACCCACTGACTGCCCTCCCCACTGAAGACCAGCAGACCCACTGCCCTCCCCACTGAGGACCAGCAGGCCCACAGCTCCCCCCCCTCAAGACCAGCAGACCCACCACCTCCCCCACAGAGGACCAGCAGACCCACTGCCTTCCCCCACAGAGGACCAGCAGACCCACTGCCTTCCCCCACAAAGGACCAGCAGACCCACTGCTGTTCCCCCACTGAGGACCAGCAGACACACTGACGTCCCCCACTGAGGACCAGCAGACCCACTGCCTTCCCCACTGAAGTCCTGCAGACCCATCGCATTCCCCCACTGAGGACCAGCAGACCCACCACTGTCCCCACTGAGGACCAGCAGGCCAGCTCGGCTCCATTAGGAAAAAGCGGGAGTTCGGTTGGAAAAGGCCCATATCCCTGTAGGTGGCAAGTAACAAACTCTTGGAAAATGCAGTCTGGGAGAACGGACCTGCATGCTGGTCCTGTGTGGGGAAAAGGTTATTTGTAGTTTGCTCAGACAAGATCCAACCCACACTTGTGAAAGTTTGCCTTGCTGTGAAATCTGCATTTTGAAAAAAGCCGCAGCTGTTGTGTGTGTGTGTGTGTGTGTGTGTGTGTGTGTGTGGGGCGGGGTGGTTGGGGGGATGCGGTTGTGGAGGTGTGGGTTTGTGGGGGAACATTGGGTTTAGGAGCAGGCCTAACGGTAGCGAATGACTGAACAAGGGTCCCTGCTCCCTACCCCCCCTACATCAGATCTACAACCGACTCTGTGATGTTATTGCTCAGGTTCTGAAGCCAACCCACCACCGCTTCCCCCTCCCCAACCAGCCTGACTGTGGGATGGGAGGGGTTGGGGCGGGCTGAGATGGTTCTCCCCCGGGGGCATGCAGCGAACTTAGTTGATGGATGTGCATAGTGTCGCTGGGACTAGCACTGGGAAACCTATCGAGTTGGAGATAGGGCCCTGGCCTCAGAACTATATACATATATGGCATTACTTCAAAATTCACACATTCTGAACAGTTGGACTTCAAGAGATACTGGTTACAAATTAGAGATTTGCAACCGAATTATTTTGTCCTGGATGATGTCGAGCTTCATGAACGTTGTTGAAGTTGCACCCGTCGTAGCAAATGGGGAGTATTCCATCACACTCCTGACATGTACCTGGTACATGGTGGGCAGGCTTTAGGGAGACAGGAGGTGAGTTACTCACCACGGGATTCCTCGCCTCTGTCCTGCTCTTAAAGCCACAGTTTTGATATGGTGAGTCCAGTTCAGTTTCTGGTCAATCCAAAATGATGTTGAATCCCTCTCTATAATTTAATAAAAAAACAAAATAATACAGCTGTGACTACACTTCACAGGCACTTATTTGTTCTAAGCACTTTGGGGTAGCCTGTGGTCATGACAGGTGCTATAGAAATGCAAGTCTATTCATTTCCTGGTTCTTATGTCACTGTTCTTTTTTTAAGATATTAAATTTAAACTTTCTGTATCTGGGGAGTGATGAGAATGGAACAAGGTGAATGGTTTGAATGTATTTAACCAATGCGTTCATGTCAGAGGGAGCAGTTGAAGATTGTGGATGGGTTTTATATGATATACAGAGGGAGGAAGATCCAGTAGATTAATGACTGCTTCTTTGAGGAATAAATCAATGTATTTGAAGAAAATGATGAGGGACTGTAGACAATTAGAAAAGAAACATTTCCTGGGGCTGCTGAAGAATGTTTGTTTTGAGGATGCATCACTAGGGTGCATCTGCGCCTGGAACAGTTCCCAATGTGGTCAGGATTTGAAATATTAAGCAGCGCTCACAGGTGATCATATAAAATGACAGAAGTACAGGCCAGATCCATGACAGGTACAACCTGAAAAGTAAAAGCTGCATTAACAGCTCGTGAGAACATGTAGGAACCCTTCATTAAACTGACCCAGCAAGAGGACGACAATTAAAGGAAGGTATGCTGCTGGAGCGATCCTCACTGGCTGGTCTGAAGTATCTCCTTTTGCCTGGACCAGCTCCTGCTCCTTCCAATGTTGATGAGAGCTTCTAGACACAGTGTTTAAAAGCTCTTTTCCTTCTTCCTGGTGTTATTTGACTTCTGTTGTATTTGCGGCTCCTCTATATTTGCACTTTGAATTCACATATTGTCATTTTTGTTTTTTACCTCCTCCATGGTACTTCTTTAGAAATAACTTGAGAAGCTTATAAACAAAGTTGACCTGTTAGCCTTGTATCATTCAAGACTTGTGTTTTCCTGCATTGAAAGATTAAATTATAAATTTACTAACATTTTGCCTGAAAAACACATGTTGACTGAGCTGATAAGGACCTCGGTAATAATTTTGTTTTGATACAGTTTATACACTTCATTAGGCACACATCTGGGTTTTATTTGAATAGTTTCCACCCACATTTGGGTCCTATGGAAGTAGGTACCATTGATGTCAGAAAAATAATTATTTTAAACCCTGACCACGCTGAATGCATGTGTGACCCTTGTGGTAGTAGTTGTTTGCATCCACAAGAACCAAATTGGGAAGTAACTATTATATTCCCTAAATCTACAATGATGGATAAAGTATGCTTCCTGAGCAAAAGAAATTGTAGCATATAATCCTTGAGTATTGTTGAAAAAAAATGCATATTTTGTTGAAGCTGAAAGGGAAACAACATTTCTACACTGAGAGAAGACTGCTGATTGGTAAAGGCATAGTCATGGGAAATAAACCAATCAGAAGCCCCTTGCCAACAAGTCACCACTTTCCTCTCATATTGTCCAAATGTTGGTTTTCCGCTAAAATTAGTATCCTTGAGAATTGACCTGATAAATGCAAGACAAAAGCCTTTGACAAAATGTGTCTTTTTCGGCAACGTTCATGAAATTATAGCCCTGGTGAAACAGGTTTGTCCTGAGATTTAGGAGCAAATTACTGCAGATGCTGGAAACTGAACAGAAAACAAAAAAATACTGGAGAACACAACAGGTCAGGCAGCATCCATAGAGAGAAAGCCAGCTTCATTTTTTGTTGTCCGGAGATTTGTTGTCTGCAGGACATAAACTGGAGCCCACTGTCTGTCTGGATTATAACAGTGGGGGTATTGGCAGAGAACTAATTAGAACTTAGTTCAACATTTATATCATTCTAGCAATGTGGAAAATCTTAATAGGAATAAATTATTGTAGCATCTACTAGATCCATGTACAAATGTTCAATTTTATCACATCAATTGCAAATGTACCCTGTAATAATAATGTCAAAGTGTATAGCATATTTTATGCCGTGTCCTAACATTTTATTTCTCTAAAGTTTTATCTGTTGGAAAAATCTGTCTTTCTGTAATGGATCTGGCAAAGTAATGGCTATAAGTAATTTCTCTGTCAACATTTGTTTGATATGTGTGTACTTTATTAAATGAAGATGTATCAGTAGCCAAATTCTGTCAGACCCATTCTATATGAGCAAATCATCAATCAGATTGCCTTATAATAGCAGTGCAGGGTGACAGTCTGTAGTCGTCAGTAGTAATATGTTGACAGTCACTTGGTGGAACACAACTTGAATATTGCTGAAAGGAAATAGGTGTTGCGATGATTTTCATCTTGCTCTCAAGAGGAAAACACAAGATTTCCGAATTTTGGATGGTCACACCTTATACTACTGGAGAAAAGAGTGCTTATTAGTTAGGAGGTCAACTCTGATTGGCTGAGGTGTTGCTATGAGGTAAACAAAGGAATCTATGTGCTCCCTAAACTCCAGATAATTAAAAAAATATACATGGCATGAACAT